ACACAATGATTCTTATATTCAAGTGAATTAAATCCTCTTTTCATTCCTTAAGTCAGCAGCTGAGGAGTTTCAACTTGCGTCCGACACTGGAAGACTCAGTGGGTGACGCCGCCAAACCACCAGGAAATTCAGAGGTCTCCTCCACCGCGCAGAGGAAGAGAGGAGGTCGGGCAGGAGGAGGGGAGGGCTATCTGAGCTCGCTGCCCTACGAGGTGCTGTGCCACATGGCCAGTTTCCTGGACAGTCTGTCCCTGTCCCAGCTGGCTATGGTGTCTCGGCTCATGAGGGAGGTGTGCTCCTCACTGCTGAAGGAGAGAGGGATGGTCACCCTCCGCTGGGAGAGGAAGACATACTCCCATGGTGGAGCCAAGTGGAAGGCTAAACCTGTGAGATATACATATGAAATGTGTATGAAACTGTGATCCAAATTTTTCTCTCCTCCTGACTCTCCTCCTGTTTCTCTCCAGGTATGGGAGTTCAGTCAGCTCTTCACTGCAGTGGATTCATGGCACATGGCCGACATCCCTCCTATATCTGCTCATCTAAAAGTCTGTCCTTACTACGAGACCTCTCCGCACACTGAGCCTTTTCCCCTTCCCAGCATGAGTGAGAAACATGGTGGCAGCAAGCAGAGGCTTAGCCTCGTCAACCAGTTCACAGGAAACAGATGGCAACAATGAAAAAAAACTATTTAATTCTACCTGCTGTGTACCTAAAAATAATGTATTTGTGTATAATTTACCATGATGACCAGATTACACTTGTATAGGGATGATGTCTTATAATCAGTATGTCACAAAGCACCACACAGAACAAATAAAATCAACCTGAACTTATTCTGTGTGATCGATCTAATATTCAGTATGATGCTTTAATTTACTGAATTTTTATATGAAAATACCTTTATTATGGTTGATGATTCTAGAGCATAGGTATGAACAACATATGTTTCACTATTGCCTGAATAAAAATTGTGTAATTGAGAATAACAATTGGCAGATCAATCAATAATGAAAATAATAATAATAATCTAAATACCAGCACCATCTTTTTAGAGGACGGCAAGAGTTTTCTTTAAAGGTGAGTCTGTGCGTGAAACTTTTACTTTACTTCAGTATTTCCATTTTTTGCAACATAATACTTATTGTAGTTTGTTCTCAGCAACATTTATTTGACATCTATAGTTATTTTGCAAATAAGGAATTTTAAACATATAATCACTATCAAATATAATGCATCATTATTGAATGTGAATCCATGACTCCAACTGTAACATTTTATATTTTACACTATTGGTACTTTTATTAATGTGAAGCATCTGAATACTTCTTTTAAAATAAATAAATAAATCATATGATGCATACACTTCCAAAAGATTGATGAAAAATCAATCTAAATCTAAAACACTAGCCTAAAAAAATCGTATTCCCTTTCTTTTTGGCAACAGCTGGTACCATCATTTCCATGGAGCCCCTCCTCCTCTTCCTCCTCCTCCTCCTGCATCGTGGCACTTCTCTCCCCTCATACCGGGCTGCTTTGTTGTGAATACAGCAGCGGCACCGTATTGCACGTACAACCCAGAAGGTTATGAGGAGGTTATTCCGACTCCTGACTGCAGCAGCATCCATTCACACTGAGAAACAAACAGCTGCAGCGTTGAAGCCGCTCACCTGAGAGAGCAAAGGGAAACAGAGACGGAGAAAGTGACGTTTTTTCCGCACCGGACGTTTTGCACGGGTCTTTTGTTTTCTCCATCTCTGCTGCATCAAGGACAGCGATACCAGGGCGATACGAGGATCCATGACAGACGCTTTGAATAGGATACCGCTTCAGTATCACGGTAGGCCACAGTTACAGGTAGACGCTGAGCACTAGTGACCAACGGTGCAGCAGTCAGGAGGCTTTAATGGGCGACAAATCAAACAGAAATAGATCAAATGAGAGAGTGTAGGCATTTTGCATATAAGATTACAAGAGTGTTACCTTATAAGCCTGTAAGTGTTGCAGAGAAAAGCACATAAATGTATGTCAGTGGTGTTATAGCACAATAAAAATAATATAATCTTATATTGAGCAGATTAACTGATGGTTTATCACTCTGGTTTTATAAATACAATATATTTAATTTGTTTTGCATTGCATTAACAATTAATACCCAAGCAGTGTTCTATATCAGAGCTCAAATTGGGTCTCTACTGTAATGTAAACATACTGCGCTGGGAAAACCCCTTTATCCTAAGTCATACAGCTACCAGCATCTGTGTGCAGGTTGTGTGGGGATTCGGCCATGGATGCCGGGAGACTGGAGCAGCAGGTGGCCAGTGTGGACAGAGGCATTGCCTTCCTGAAGCAGGAGCACCTGGCCATGCTGACCGGTCTGCAGCTGGAGATCACACACCTGAAGAGGCGCTGTCATGGTCAGTCTACTGGTGACCTGCTGCTCTCCAGCTCTTAATGTGTCTCTTAACCAATTGGCTTCCTGTCTGTCTTATCTCTTCCTGTCTGCCTGTTGTGTGTCTCCTCCTCTTGGCTGTAGAGCTAAGCTGTGAGCTGGACTCCAGGTTTCCTGACAGAAACACAGAAGGTAAGACATTACAACTCCTTGCTGACAAGAGGGAAAATGATATGTGGGAGATGCCGAAATTGTATCCTAATTATGGAGAGGAAAGTACAAAGGCTGTGCAGAGGTAGTGGAAACTTACAAGGACCTCATGACAGAAAGTGGTGCAATGACGAGGCACGATACAACATTAGTACAGTAAATGGAGATTAACCCCTTGATTTATTAAATATTATAAACACTATATTATATATATACTATATTTTAATATATTTGTTAGTAATAGGGATGCATCTGTATCTGCACTGATACTGACTTTATGAGGCAGATCAAATATCATCCCTGACATAATCGATCCACATACAGTTTCTATGTGTCACATCATCCTATAAATGATGTTGCCTGACATACAAATTATCAACCAGAAGGTCCATTCTGTAAGTTAACACAGCTGATACCAGAACTCTGGTACTGGATTGGTGCTCAGTATCAGCAGATACTCTGAGTTGAGGTATCAGAATCAGTATTGGGAGAGAAAAAGTTGGATCAGTCTATTAGTTATGTGTGACAGGACACATCATGATAACAATGTACTCTGTGTTTCCTGCAAGAAAATGCTCCAGATAGATAAATAAAGTAGAGTAGATAGATAGATAGATAGCATAGATAGATAGATATAATTATATTATACATTTTTCATTACGACGCGCATTACGTAAGACCAGGTAAACATGTTGTTTTAGATGGATTAGCTTGTCATTTAGGATGGGATAAAGTGTTAACATTTAGAAAAGACGATGGTGATTGAGGAAATATAGGGTAACGTTTACGGCAGGATGCATGAGAGTTATCGTACAGGGCTGGAAACTAACTTTTTCGCCACCAAAACTCACAAAGGGCAGCCCTAACACAATTCCACAGCAAGGCTGCTTGCAGATGTATCTGCAGACAGTTTTTGTTTTTATTATCTCAATTGGCCGGCCATTAATTGGTCTATCTACGATGCTAATAATAATAATAATAATAATAATAATATAATAATAGTATTTTTTTAAATGGTGTTTATTGCAAATAATAGTTTTATCTGCATCTGTGAAATTAAATGAGGCCTTCATTTTATGAGGTTACATTGAAATGAACTTATTCTGCAACAGATAAGCGAAATTTGTCCTAAATCACAGAGAAGTAAAATTAATGTAAATTTCTTTATTATTCATTTCTCCAGCAACATTGTGCTGCTAAAGTAAGTAAAGGAGTACAGAAAGGCACAGTGAAAAGAAAAAACATCTACACTATTTTGTGTATCTGTGTAATGTGTATTTATACTTCAGTCCACTTCAGTGTGTTTATGTTTGTTTCTCAGAGGAGGAAGCAGAGCTGGCAGCACGTTGTGAGGCCGCAGAGCGTCTCCTAGAGGACCAGCAGTGCATGATGGTCGCTGCGCGCGGGGAACTGCGGGCCGGCCGGGCACGGGCCTCAGCACTCGGAAGGAGCCTCAGGGAAGAAGAGCGGTGTTTCCTGGAGGAGCTGAAACGGCGTAGCCACAAGATCACGCTGCTGAGTCGTGAGCTGCAACGGCAAAATGTTATCACGTCAAGCCTCTGCCACGAGCTCCACACCGCACGCTTAAAACTGTTCCAGCAACGGCAGAGCACAGAGTCTGCTGCAGAGGGAGAGGAGGAACCCAGAGGAAAGGAGGTAGAAGACGGAGAGGAAGAAGAGGATGAAGAGGATGAAGGGGAGGACTCAGACTGGCTTCTGTCTCCGCCTCCTCCAGCCTCTCCCAGCAAATCAGAAGTGAGACACAAGAGGCGTGTCAGTGTGAGGGAGGAGAGGGTCAGAGCTTGTGTCCCACAGGAGAGAGTGACATCACCGCAGAGGCCACACCCCATGCCCGACCCCGCCCTCTTCTTGGTGCCGCTTAGATACCGCCTCCTTCGCTTGAACCAACCAATCAGAACGCAGGACGGAGATGGGCTGGAGGACGAGTGGGAGGATATAGAGGACAGCAGGGTACACAGGAGGGTGGACATGGGAGCGGGAGAGGGAGAAACTGCTCTGTGATGAAGATAAAAAAAGGCAAAGTTGTCTTCCAGCAGGTCTCGGGCCAACATCAATCAACATCCTGATGCAGTTATTCTTCAAAAAAAACTTAAGAGGAGAGAGATTTAACCTTGTGATTGTCTGTAGATTTCAGGGAGTGAGTTAGATATTTAGAGCTAGTTGCACAAGAGTGTGTGATCCAACCTACACATAGACGTATTAACTGGATTTGTCACATCGATTGGTACAGTATGTACTAAAATGTGAAGAAATGAGTGGGTCAAAAAAGACTGTTTCATATGGATGCCTTTTGATTTCAACACTGTCGATCACGGCTTTTGCCTGTAATTAGTAGCCTTGCCTCTGGGTCTCGAACACTTCAAAAATGGCAACCTGCTTTTTCACTGCACAAGCCGTATTCCAGGTTTTGGAAAGTCACTCTAGAAGGCTTAAGGGACGTTTTGTATGATTTGCACTTTATTAAAATTCATGCAATGTGCCTGGTAAAGGCAGAGAAGTATTCCTGGTGTCATGTTGTCTTGTTTTCAGTGTTTCTGCAGATGTTTTGCAGATATTTTTACTTGTCATCGTAGGAAAAAAGCAGCAATAATATTAACGATGGTTCTGTTCAAGGGTCCCAGTGAGTCATGAAAGTGTGACAGTGAACCAGCATGCACGATTCCAGGACCCTGAAACTGAAGCAGATAAATGTCATTTGGCCATCATTGATTATATTAGTTACACTTGTGCTTTTCCTACTGTCACATGTTAAGATATCTGCTGTAACAAAGGCCTGTTGATATTTGAAAGTGGCTATTATAAAGATGTTATGACTAGTTTCTTTCAGCTTTTCTTTTTCTAATTTTCTTTTACAGTTATTACTCAGATTGTACAAGAACTAAAAACAATTAGCCAAATTATCTAGTAGTCAATCAGTAGTCTCCAATAATATGGTTTGCCTCTGTTCTCTGTTTTTTATCACTATAAACTGAATATCTTTGGGGTTTTTGGAGCTGTGGTTCCAAACAACGGAAGAATGATGCTTTGTGATAGACCAAGACGAGTTAATGAATGCGAGACGAGATGAATGCGTCCTGAGATGAGCACATGAAGTACAAACATTCAGCCATGATGACAGTCAGGCGAACCACGTGTAAATGGTTTCACACCCACTCTGCTTTTGAGCATTTTTTCACCAACTCTAGGAGAGCTTTTTTAAGTCCTACACTGGGTGGCAGTACAACCAAACCTTGACCAGGATTACAATCTGGTCTGATCTGCCTGCATTGCTGAAGGTGCCAAAGAAGTAAAAGAAGAAAACTCCTACACAAACACCAATATCACTGAATTTTCTAGGCTTTTTACAGTTGAAAGAATAAAATATTAAAAGAAAAAGGGGGGTGGAGGTTCAGAGGACTCTGAGAAGGTATACAGGAAGATTGTGATGACTCAGTCTGACTGTCCTTCATCTGCTATCTGAACAATCCACATCTTTTATACCACACAGATTTATTTGCAACATGCCATCGGATCCCACTGAATGTGGAGGTGAACGCACTCACAAGGCCAAAAGAGAGCTGTACTTTATTGAAATTTAAATGAACAAATGAAACTTTTACTGTAGTAAAAAATGCAAATGAACATTTATGGACTTTATTGACATTCATGAGAGGATACACTGAGACATTCAGGTACCATTTCCATACCAAACTACTGTGTTACTCACAATGTCACAATGTAGGAGACAACACACACACACACAC